GGACTCTCAGCTCTGGTAATTTTCATAGCTGTGGGTGCAGTTATCATCTGCTCAGAGAAAAAGCAAAATGACAAACGCTTAAAACAAAACGGTAACAAACATCTTTTTTTTCCTTTCTCCCATTACTCAGGTCGCTCTTTTTTGCATTTTTTAAGAAGATAAACAGAATAATTGAGCACTTTTAAATAGTTTTTTTTTATTATTCTTGCTAAGAGTTTATTGATATCTGTTATGTGTCGGTTAAATATGCAAGTATTGTTTACCACCTACCTTTAACACAAAGTGTTGGAAAGCAGTTTTGCCCAGCTTTGTAAAGCTTAAAGCTCCCAAAAGAACGTTAAAAGTCATGTTTTATTTATTTATTTATCTATGTAAAATGTGAATCATTTTGCATCTTTGTGGTAAAACTAGCTTTTTCCATACAGTGACATTTTTTGGCTATTAGCAAACAGTTTCATAGAACATGAAAAATTCTTTAATCATTCACTGACGCTATTTGCTGCTCTGCAGAGAATGAAGATGGCCAAGAAGTCTATGCTAATGTTGGTGTTGTGGCAGGTGAAGCAAAGAGAGAAAATAGCAGAGCTGGAGTTAATCAAGTTTTTCCACAGCTGACTTTTCAGTCACAGAAGAAGAGAACACGTTATATTAAAGTTTTGTAGTTGTATTTTTTCTTTGATATCTGCACAATAAATTTTACAGTCGAAACAAAAATAATTTCCTAACTTATTTAAGTACGGTTGTGGTGGGTTGTGGTAAGTGGTGTCACTGCAGGAGAGGGAGCACCTGAACAGCATCCGCAATCACCCTTCACCAGCTTAAAGTCTGTGTTCTAACTGTTGTCATTGCTGTTGGTGGTGATGTGTGTGGCTGGCAGCTGTAGAGCTGCAGCCATGTGTTTGTGACAGCAACCGTGAGAGAGTAAAAGTGTCAATAAAGTATGCTGAAAAGCATGTTCATGTATGAATCATCAAATCTGCTGTGGTATGTTTACAACAGTTTAGTTCAAATTTATGTAATATTAATTCATAATGTATGTCATCTCAAGAAACATTACACAATAAAACCTGCCAGCATCATATATTTGAATCTCAGACTGTGTTGATTTTTTATCATAGAGATCACAATAACAATATTGATTATATTCTGTCATTTAGGGAAGTTACGTGATCTGCATCTTGTCAACTTAATTGTATTTTCAATTAGCTCAGAGCCAGTTTACCACAGAACCCTTTAGGTAAGAAGATCTTTGACACTGTATTACAAGCTCAGTCTCAATTCAAATATCATCAAAATACAGAAACTCAGAATAAGATTTATGCAGCTTAACTCTACAGTCATGTTGAATCTGAAGATGAAAAACTAGATACAAAGAAACTGTCAGCATGGTTAGAGTGGTGTAGTCTCTCCTTTTTTCTGCTTGTCATCAGAAAACATCTGTGGCATATTTACATATAAAAATTAAACTGTTAACCTGATATAGAGCATATAGATTTTAGGAATTAATGTGTAAATAGTGTTCTTAAAGAGAACTTTATAAAAATGTCACAAAGTAAAATGGTAAATGGCCTGTATTTGTATAGTGCTTTACTTGGTCCCTAAGGACCCCAAAGCGCTTTACACATTCAGTCATCCACCCATTCACACACTGGTGATGGCAAGCTACAATACAGCCACAGCCGCCTTGGGGTGCACCGACAGAGGCGAGGCTGCCAGACACTGGCGCCACCAGACCCTCTGACCACCACCAGTAGGCAACGGGTGAAGTGTCTTGCCCAAGGACATACGACCAAGACTGTCTGAGCCGCGGCTCGAACCGGCAACCTTCCGGTTACAAGACGAACTCCCAACTCTTGAACCACGATCGCAACAAAGTAGATAACGCTTCTTTCTCTACCAAAGATGTTATGTGAAAATACAGGCTTTCATATATTTTCCTTACGTACAGCTACACTGTAACATTTGTTCATTTGTAGAATATATCAAATAATATACTCTGGACTGAAAATCTTTATTGAATCTCTCCCTCGTTCTCTCTGGCTCTTTATAGTGAAATTCTAGCAGCTTAATATCAGATATGACCACCATTATTCTTCAACACAGTATGAACTCTGTTAAGTAAATCTTCTTGTAATTTCTTTAAGTAGCTTTCAGGAATAGTTATCCAGGGTTCTTCAAGGACATTCGACGCTCTTCTTTGAAAGTTGGCTGTGATTTCTGCTGTTCTTTCAAGATGATCCTACACTGCTTAAATAATGGTGAGTTGCAAGTTTTGGGGAGGCCAAACCATGACTGTCCGGTCCTGGGTCAGTGACCCAGAGTTTGGATTTATTTTATTATTATTATTATTAATCTGTGACTTCATGGTTTATGATTACTAGTGTTTTGGTTTCTGTTTAAGCACTCTAGTCTTTCTTTGCTCTGGTAATTCTAGTTTTTTAAGTTTTGTTCTGGTGCCCCCATGTTTAGTCTATGTTTAGTTCTGTCCTCCTGTTTGTCTTGTTCCCCAGTCAGTAGTGTCTCATGTCACTCCTGTCCCTGTACTCAGTGTTCCCTATGTTCAGTATCTAGTGTGGGTCTCTGTGTCTGTCATGTACTTCCTGTTTTATTTTGACTGTTCTACTCTATGTTCAGCCTCTGTTCCCCGTCTGGTCTGTGTAATTAGTACCAGCTGTGTTTCCCTTCTCTCCCATTTCTTGATTAGTTAGATTACTCTGTCCATCCCAGTTTATATGTTCTGTTTCCCTGTTTTGACACCCAAGTTTGTACAGCACAATAAAGCTGCCTTGTATTATTGGGAATAAACAGAGCTCAGTTTTTATCATATTAAGAAAAACTGTTTTGTTTCTCCTAGTGAATACTTTGAATTGATCCTTTAACATCTGGTATCTAAATATTTCTGAGCTGCTGCCCATCAGTTCAAGGTCCACAGTTGCTCCAGAAGGAAGCAAAACAAAAACAAAAAGAATTTAAATATTTGTTTAAAACAAACATATTTTTTCTGGATCTGTTTGTATCAGTTGAAGTAAATAAATTATATGCAAAATTTATATAAGTCTGTGAGTAAAACACAGAGATCTGACAACAACACTAAAGAACATCTAAATATTAGTTTAATTGAACTTACCTAATTAGCTTATCCTAATAATGCGATGCATTGTGTTTGTTACTTAAGATGATGTGACGGAAAGGAAAAAGTAAGTGATAAGAACTGCGGACATGACCAGACTTACTCTGTGACCTGCCTTTGTTTAATTTCTGTTTGCTCGATGGGGAAGTTCACACACGAATCCCACAGGCAGGTTAGGGTTGGGGTGGCTGGTGCCAGTCACAAATCTGGATAAATGGTGAACGTTGCATCATGTCAAATATGGTAATATGTCAAACACATATCACTTGTGTCAGGGGCCGTGTTAACAGCAACCTGTAACAGAACAGTAACAAATATCTTAGAGGTGAAGTATGTGCAGAAACAACAGCAGTGTGTGAAAATGATGAGAATGATTAATGTGTTACTGATTTCAGAACTGTATTAAGAGTGGTGAGAATAACATTTCTGCTGTGAGAATTGTGCAAATGCAATCAATAAAAACTGTAATATCAATTTAGTTAAGCTGTTACACACACTTCAAACCTACCTGACCCCTGTGAGGATGCCACCTACAAATATGTCACTGCAATAATTCAGAACAAATAATCTGGCAAAACTTAATAAGTGTAATTTCCAAATTTCAGATTGATGACAGAATATGGGAAAGCATTGTTTTTATGATATTCCTGTAAACATCAGTGCAAAAATGCTTTGAAGCTGTATAATTCTTAATCACTGGAGGGCGCCATTATCTAAAAATTGAGCTGATTCCATTATGAATTCAGTGTTCAGGTTTTAAAATCAAATGTTACATTTCAAACCCAGTTTGGCTTAACTATGTTTTTGTTGAGTGAGTCAGGGGTGACAGAAGAATAGCAAGAAGAGTGAGACATGCTATGATTTATGGTTTGGATCTGGATGTTAAGATCTTCAATGGTAGTAACCCGAATGTACAAGACTCAAAATAAGTATATCAGAGGGAACAGCTCAGGTTGAGGATTTTGGAGACAAAGTTAGAGAAGCAAGTCTGAGAGGGTTTAGACATGTGGTGAGGTTTTTAAATACTGGAGAGGTGTAATCGAAGGTGCTGAATATCGAGCTGCCAGGCAGGAGGAAAACAGAAAGCCTGCAGAAGTTGATAATCTACCGTGGTGACCTCTAGAGGGAGCAAACAAAAGAAGATGAAAAAGCTGTGGTTTTCCTGATCTGCCCAGGCAACTAATATATAATATCAGAGATTATATTTCAATCTCCACACACATATTCTGCTTTGGATTTCTTCTTTCAGCATCTATTTTCTTCAAAATACTGTATGATATACAGATGTAATAGTTTGAACGCACCCACATTGCCTAAACTATTTTTATTAAAAATCAAAGGCAAAAAAATAAAACATCAAAAAGCATTGTGTGTCCTGTGCTCATCAGTCTACATTTTAAACATAGACATAAACATAGAGCAGGAGCACAATATAACCAAGAAGAGTTATTGAGAGGCTCTGTGTAATAAAAGCTACATGCATATTTGTGGTTTGAATGGTGACACTTTTTTTGTGTTTCACTTCTTTCTGTGTGCAGTGATGGTAACAGTTGCTGTGCAATGACATTGATGTCTCCTTTTATGGCGAAACCTAACATGAGACCTTGACACACAGAACTTTGGTACATTTCAAAACCACTGAAAAACACAACAATCATTAATGCCTGTGAAAGTGTTTCAAGGTTTGACAAGTAAAAATAATTGACTGTTTTTCATTAAATTGGTAGGCAGCTTCTTTCTTTTGTCTCTCTTTGCAGCTCTATTGTAGTCACATCCTGCCTGGTCAGTGTTCACACGTTCTTCCACCAACAGGAAACATGGTCAGTGTAGGTTGTGCCTTTTTACATCTTGGTAAAATAGAAGAGTTTGTCTGAAAGCTGCCTGCTGAATAGGCTGAATGGAGAAGAAAAACAGAAGCTGTGTTTGTGTAGGTGATGCTGATATCATATTATTATTTTATATTACTGATGATGCTATTATTGCATCATTTCTGTGGTGAGCTGTATTTAATTGTTTGAAATGTGCAGCAGCTGGGGTAATAAGTGTTGTCACTGAATCGATGATAATATTATCTTTAGTGTTCTGCAGCTTAAAGGTTGAGCTACACTTATGATAAATTTATACAAAAATAAAATTCATTATAAGTTTTCCTTGGATTTAAAGTTGCCTGGATATTAAATGAAAGCTCTCTTTGCTACAATCTCCACTGATGTTTGTGGATGATTACTATTTACACTTATCACATGTAAGGAATCACTCGGACAGCTGAAAACTGTACCAGCACTCATTGAACAGTGAGAAAAGATGGAAGCTGTGCTTGGATTGATGATTGTTCTACTGGGAGTTGCTCAGGGTGAGTTTTTCAGCTTTTGAGATGCAACACTTTTATAATGTAAAAATCTTATATATCAACAGTGTGTTTTGAAGCCATGGCATGTGTTAGTACATTTGACTACTTGAAAACAGCCAAAGGATCTCTTGTCTTTTATTTGTTTATAAGTTCAGCTTATTTACAGTATGCACTTAAGGTAAAAACAAGCAGTGCTGAGTTATAGTCATGTTGGCAAATACAGATTTCCAACATGACTAATGTGTTCATCAGTTACAGTAGCGGTATGATGCAGTAGTGTTGAGTGATATATTTTTTAAAGTTTTTAACTGGAAAAAATATAGCTGCAGATAAATGGAGAAATTCTTTACTTTGTGCATTAATTTTTAGAATTTAGGCAGTTTTTGTTCATCCTTGCTGCACAAAACCAACTTCTTCTTCAACTTCTTCTTCTTGTAGTTTTTGTGGTTGAAATGGAATTACCTCATAATGGAATCTTTTTACCTATTTTCTTTTTCCCACATCTAAGGATGTTTACTTTTCCAACTAAATGTTAAAACTTTAAATTAAAATTTCGTAAGGTACAAAAAGTAGCTTGGTTTATTCAAAATTTTATTGCCATGATTTCGTAATTGTAGTTGTCAAAAGTGACATATTATACACTGTTTACTTACCAAATTGCTTTAGTAGTACTCTATTTTCTGCACTATAAGGCACATTTATAATGCTTACATTTTCTCAAAAATCAGCAGTGCGCTTTATAATCTGGTGCGCCTTATGTATGAATTCTGGTTGTGCTTACTGACCTCGAACCAATTTTATGTGATAAACCGTTCTCAAAAATCTGTCAAAAAGATTTTTAGTACGACTTTGGTAAGCTACGAAGCCGCACTGCTGTCGGAGCATTATGGATAACATAGTCAGGAGTCTCACGGAGTCTGTTCAGGTCCTAAAGATAAATGAACACTGGGCCATCACTGGGAGTTAAAAACCTTCTAAATGCTTTCATCTTTAATATAATGATCAGCATTGCTGCTTTACCAGGTGTAACAATTAAGTTAAAAATCGAGGCATCCATGAAAACAGAATTTATTAAATTTAATGGAGTTAGAAGTTAGCAGGGAGTTAGCTCGCTAGTTTCCACCTAAACAGGATATACCATGTTCTGACTGAAAGATTTCGTAAACAAATTAAGACGTACAGCTCTGCTATCACTTCCGACATAAATGAAGAGAGAAACTAAACAGCTGTGACGTTTGTAATGTACAGAGATGGGCAGTAACTTCCAGTCAGAGAATGTTGCATATAATTAAATTTTTGCTAGATGCATAAAGTTAAAAGATTAAAACTAATAAAACAAGTTTTAAAAAGAGACTTTTCCATTTGGTTACATTTTGTATGATGGATTATGTAGAAAAAGTAGAATTGGGCTGAAAGATCTATTGCTTTATCACCTATTCAGGTTGTAAATTGTGTTTTTAAAAAGTAACTAAGTAATTAATTACTTTTGCCCATAAGTAATCAGTAAAGTAATGGGATTACTTTTGGGGGGAAGTAATCAGTAATTAGCTACTGATTACTTTTTTCAAGTAACTTGACCAACACTGGTAATGTACACTATATAAATGGTGTATATAGACAAAGGCATCTCTTAATATTTGAATTCAGGTGTTTTCAGTTACATTGCCGCAGGCATATTAAATCAAGCACCATGCAGCCTACTTTTACAAACATTTGTGAAATAATGGAAAGCTTTAAAGGACTCCATGAATTGATCAAATAATGAAATAATACAATAAATCAAAATTCAAAGTATAAAACCAGGGACAAAAATTTTATAAAAAATAAAATGAATTGCAAATAGCAGTAGTAAAAAGACGAAACATGAACATAGCTATCAAGTTGAAGCCTTCAATTTGACACTATTATAAACTCATATTGTGTTTGTCTCATATGATTCTAATTACAGATGTAGGCCTGTCACTGGTATTATTACATAGAGTAATGATGTGAAACCTTTCAAGTATAAAACTAGGGACTGCTCTCACTTCCAACATAGGTGAAAACAGAAAACTAAACAGCAGTGACTTTTGTAGGGTTACTAAAGTTGGGCTGGTTGGTATATAATGATTTGCTACATGATCGCTAGTGACACAGCTATGTTAGCACAACATAAACACAGTGAAGCTAGAGGATGAATGCTAACTTTTTTCCACTCAATAAAAGTTAATGTAAGGGTTCCCGATGGTATTCGGACAAATGCAATCGCATGGCAGGATGCTATAAACAGACCAAACTTCAGTCAGGAGAACAACTGAGATAACCCATCCACAATAAAGGTTAGTCATTAATATACTGCAACAACACAGGAATAGAGCAGCTGAAAGAAGATTCAACATTCATGAATCAATGGTACGGAAATGGAAGAAGCAAGAAGAATGAGTTGAGCAAAATTGACTTATCTGACGCTTATCTGCCTTATGTATGAAAACAGACCCGTTCAGGGACAGTGCACCTTATAATCCAGTGTGCCTTATGATCTGAAAATATGGTATATTTAGTTGTTAAGATATCTCTAAATTTTGGTCTTTACTACTGTAACGTTGCAAGTTTGTTGCAAAGTTTGTAGTGACCATGTTTGCAGTGACCGTGTACTGGTGCCTCTATTACCTGTGACATATAAGACACAATGCCAGGTATAATACCTTGTTTTTACACGTTATAACCAATTAACCCACTGTGAGTGAAATATTCAGAATTATTTTTTAATTGCTTCAGTGCTGCTTAATATCTTTTTTTTTTGTTGTTGTTTTTTTCACAAAAATATTTTTTTGAATTTGCAGGTGTGGAAACTTACTGTGATGGCAGACAGGATGGAGCTCAGTGTTATGGAGCTTTGGGAGGAACTGTGGACATCCAGCTGATGGACAGCACCTCAGAAATATCTAGATACCACTTGTTAAAGGATTCATTAAAAATATTGGATGTGAAACACAATAAGAGTTTTCATGATACCACAGAGAACAAATTTCTATTTTTTCCTAGTAATGGAACATTTAGGATCAGTAGCCTAAACAGGAATGAGCATGGTAATTATACCCTTCAAACATTTGATTCAGATGGAAGAAAATCAGATGAGTGGACTTTCAAGTTGATCTTTCAAGGTAATTTTTTCCATTTCAAGAAATGACTACAATTATTATATATAGTGCTTAACAAATGTATAAAAACATCAAACATTTTAAACTTTATAGATAAATGCTTTATAGTGTTTAAAATATAATTTGGATTAAAGGGCTAATAAATATTGGTGCATGAAAAATCATAGAAACATAAAAAATATATTTGCTAATCATCAATAATGTTTATTTAAGGCACGTGTGGTATAAACGTTGCATTAGATGGTAGCCTAATAAATGTGTTAAGCCCTGTAAATGTAACATTATTTTGGGTAATCTACATAACATATCATCTTATATAATATATCTCATATTCTGTGTGGTATAGATGGTCCTTTACTTTACAACATAAACAGCGTGAGGCAACTGTTGTTGTGATTTGTTGCTATTAATAAGATTAGATTAGATTAGACTGAATTTGAATATTTAATAGAAAATTCTAAATTTAACTGTATTTTGTGGCTACAATTCTCTTCCTTATATACTATTAAGAATGAACAGTTCTGACATATAATATCAAAACTCATCTGTGTGTGTTTCTCTCAGCTCCTGTGTCCTCTGTCCTGCTGGTCTCTGAGTGTCTGTCCCAGGGAGAGATGAGGGTGTCCTGCTCCTCTCAGGGAGGGGACAGTCCTCAGTACAGCTGGAGTCTGGATGGACGCACACTGACAGATGCTGAGCTCCTTTCTGGAAATAATAAGAGTAACAACATTATTCTGAAACAGCACGTCTCAGGACATCTGGTCTGCTCAGTGAGAAATCATGTCAATAGTGTCTCCAAAGAACAAAGGATATGCACTTGTGTCTCTGACACTCCTCTAGGTAAGGAATCAATCCTCTAGTAGTATCACTTACTCCAATGGTAACTCAGTTATACATAAGTGAACCTGGTCAAAGCTCTAATTTAATGTGATATTTGTGTCTCTGAACAGATAACTCCTTACTTTTATGTGGTTTGAGAGCAGTGATGGGAATTATCTTATTAATTGGGATTTTCATCTACTTTGCTTGGAAGAAAAAGAAAACTTTAAAAGCTGAAGTCTCTGCTGTCCCACAAACGATGGACTATCCAGACAACTCTGTTCTGATGGTTGAAATGAGAAGTTCTACTTCTTGCAATGTGTAGTGTCAACTTTGATCTACTGACATTTCACATCTCTGTGCGTGTGAAAATAACACTTAGATGACACGTATCTCCTGTTTTTATTCACTAATCATGTTTTACATTTACACAGCTTACACTGAATTGCCATGAGAAGGTCTGAGCATTTGTATTCTGTGGAAACTAATATAACAAATGTTGTAACTGTAAGTAGAGTAGTCTTTTAATCTGAGACATTTTTTGGCCTAAAATCAAATACATATTACATAATTGCAAATAGAAATAATCAACCCACCAGAAACTACTGTTTGTACTAAACTGAATTTAAACACTGTTGCAACTGGTTGAAATCAACAGCACTGATTCATACTGTGTACTTTTCTTTTCTTATTGCTACACTGTAACAATATATTTGCAGGACAGGTTTATTTATTGCTGCGTTTTCTTGCTTACCTTGTGTATCTGTCTGGTTCTGCCTTTTCTGTGTTTCCTTACCTTTCTGTCTTTGTGTCAAGCTCATATGTCATAGTCTAGGTATTAATGTTAGTCATTTCCTGTTTTAATTTGCCATCCCTTGTGCTTTGTGTTCTGTTTTGTTTCTCTTATTTCATTAGCCTGGGATAAGTGTCTGTACTCCCACCTCTTGCCTGTTCCCTCATCTTCCTATATGTTTATGTATGGCCTCAGTCTCATTTAGTTTCATGTTCTGTTCTTCCTCTAGACAGTGTGCCTCTTGCTGTGTGTTCTGCTGTTCATGTGTCCTACCAAGTAAACCTAGTTCATTAGTTCCTGTTTCTACCTTGATTGAATTATTCTATTCTGTATTTTAGTTTTTGTTCATTTAGCAATAAAGCTGTTTTGAGTTTAACTTCTGTCTTTGCGTCCTAACCTTCCTGCTACACAGCCAGTGACATGTGACACAGGAAGCATGATGTTTAGAGTGTGAAACAATAGCACAGTGTGACTGTCCATATCTTATCAATATGTACAGTTTCAGAGCTTCTGCTTATAAGCAGATCTGTCCACTTGCTTAGCCAAGTTTTGTTAAATTCAACCAGCAATTTATTTTTAAATGGATACATGGACTGATACTGTGATGAGGTCAGAAACTGCAATAGATTTCAAACTTGTAGATGACTACTGTAAAACTGTTAACTATTAAATAGGTCAGTCCAAGAAAGCGTTGATGATAAAGAGTATTCTTATTGTTACAGCAAGTGTAAAATACCCTAAAAAACCTTTTATTGTCAAGAGCTGTTTATTTTGGGTTCCTCTAATACATTTAGGGCCTTTGAGGTATAGTGCAATAAAAACTACATTCAATAAAATCACTTTAAACAGAATATGGTCAGACAAAGCTTTAAATGGCCAAAAAAAACCCCAAAGAAAGCAGCATTATTTATATGTGTCAATGGAGGGAGCCATTATGTGAGATATTTACAATAGTTGTCTTGGTGTTATGCCTCCAATGTTCAGGTCTTAAAATGAAACGAGAAGCACTCAGAGTGTGCAAACCTCTACTAAGGCATTTACTTTGAAAGGAATAGTATTGTACTCAATTTGTTTACATTTATTTATTTATATAAGATGAAGAGAACGTGGTAATGGAGGATTTTTGGTGACTTATCAACCACAGCACATTCACCATTGGAGGTTTCACAAGCAACAAGCTGAGTAATGAGAAACCTAAGCCAACTCCATAGCCTAGGTGTGGGGGGTCTGGGTGGAGGCACAGGAGAGACACATAGCTACTCTCAGCTCATGCTTGAAGGTGACAGTTTGTGGCAATAATGTTCACTCTGTTGGGTTGTCAGGACAAGTGCACAGCAAAATCTCCAGAGTTAAATTAACACTAGAGAGTGTCTATATGGGTCCACACCTCTGAGTGTTAAATACAACACTGTTGAGTGTTAAATTAACACTTTTGACAGTGTTATATGTTTAAAAGTAACCTAGTCAGTTTTGAAGATTAACAATGGCTAACACTGAGCAGTGCTGATTTTCTAACACTGGAATATTTCTAACATTTTGAGTTATTACTTTTAAAATATTGTAACTCAGTTACTAACTCAGTTACTTTTTTGAAGAAGTAACTAGTAACTAATGCCACAACAACCATGCCACGTTCACAGCCACAAAATCAGCTTTCTTCCGTATTTGAATGCTAAGTTTGAACTTCAGCAGGTAATCGTGATCATGTCTACTGTCGTGTTGGTTGGTTAGATTTGTGTTAACTGGAAGAAACCAGCAGAATAAGGCTTAGAGAGGGGTGGCCATCTGCCGCAACCAGTTGAGGGCGAGCAGATGAAGACAGGACAAAAACACACTGTAGAAGAGAGCCAGAGATATTAAATATTAAAAGTACTTTTGAGAATTGGGTTTCTCTGACATACATCTTGCCTGGTCTGAGTTCACACATTTTTATTTGAAGCCGGTCACCAACAGGAAACCAGTTGTGCCTCTGTGCACACAGTGTGCAAAGAGGCCTGCTTGCATTTATCCTGTGCTGTTTGCATCTTGGTAAAATAGAGGAGTTTATCTGAAAGCTGCTGGCTAAGTTGACAGTACAGTCACTGAGTAGCTTTTAATAACATCCTTTGTGTTAAGTTCTGCAACTTAAAGCTTCACCTATGCTTGTAAAACTTTACACAAAAAATAATTCATTGTAATTCTTGGTACATTTTGATGTACCACTGACTGTAACTATAATTGTGGCTGATGTAGCTGCTGTATGATGAGACTAATTAATATTTATACTTTGACAGCTACTGAATGTGTCAATAGACTCTGTGAGAAGCAAAGTTGGGTGATTTTGACACCATCTATTAATATCATGTTACTGTAATCACATTGCAATTTTCATTACACTGTTATGACCCCTCATTTGTCTGTGAAGTCTAGGGGGCACAAGGGTGTAACACACAAGGGCAACAGCACAAGCCATACATAAGCCCATAAACGATGAGTCAAAGATT